GTGGTCACAAGCTGAACAGCAATGCTGTTCGCTCATGCTGCTTGCGCCAGCCTTGGTTGCTCCAACAGTACTGTGCCTCTCACACCTGAGAATATTGCCCACGATTTTTTTTTTAAATGGCATCTGTTTACAAGAGCCCTGAGGAAGCTACTGTGAACCCCGTGTAGCTGCGGGCCATTTGAATTGGGCCTGGCACCCTATGGCGTATATATACGCCATGCGCACCATGGGACATGTTACTCAGGGCGTATATATACATGCCAGTTTAAGGGCAGCTCTCTCTTTTAAGGGTTAATAATGTCATTAACCTCGTCGTGTCTTGCATGCCATCCTCCTGTCCTTTGGCAGAGAAGGCCATGCCATCCGTACCCGTCGGCCACTGCCTTGCCGCAAATACACCTGTATTCGATGTGGATTGGGGCAGTGAGTCGGAGAGCCACAGCAATTCGGAGGGCCTGCGGTGTGAGATGGGTGCTGGTTGCTGATATTGGAGTTGCTAATAGGATGTCACCTGCATGGGTAGCTGCTACAGCTCCAAGTCGGGCAGTGCCATGTGTTGTTGTTGCAGCTTCTAGCAAAGTCACAGCTTCTTGGTCGACAATGGGGCGATCCCCGCTGGATTGCTTATGGGCTTCAGAAGGCGGTGGTTGGGGTGCTGGTCCTGCGAGAGAGACCCATTTGGTTGTGCAGTCTGTGAAGCTGGGATCATGTACCTGTACATGCCTGTTGAACTAGGTGCTCAGGTAGGATTTCCTTCACCAAGTTGTCAGACGCCACTGAAGAGGACAGGAACGCTGGTACAGCAATTTGTGTTGCTGTGCGCACGCCATGGCCCCCCGAGTCTGACAGGAAGGGAGGCTTGTTTCCACTGTGAGTCGCTGAGAGAAAGGTTGAGGGCTTTTTCTTGCATTGATTTCAGCAAGCTGTCGTACTCTTCTAATTTAATATTGTTGAAAGATGGCGAACATCTTAGAAAGTAGGTCAGCCTGGGGAGGGGACAAGCATCTGGTGATGAGGTAAAGTGCATCATGAGCATCAATGTCTTCAATCCTCTCGTTCATCCTCTTCAGGTCAGTAATCTTCTTACCAAGGACCTCGTCGATGGCATTCCCTCCAAGAGGAGCACCTAGGAGTGTGCTGTCCTCAGGGTTGGTTGTATGAATATCAGCCAAAACAACCTTTATTCGCTCTATTATGTGCTGGTTGGTGGAGGTTATTTTGCACTTGGAAGTCTTCTTCAAGGTGAGGCCTAGACTTGCTCCTTGCTCCTGAATTATTCTTATGTCGTCCAAGAGTGAGGCTGGGGAGCCAGCTAGAGTATCATTTTCCAAAAACCAAATGTTGAGCTCACTGGACAGGTTATCGGTGACTTCCTTGATAACTAGGCAGAAAAGAAAAGGAGCAAGGGGGTCACCCTCTTGGACACCTTCTTGTAATTAAATTTCATGTTCCCCAAATAGCAGAGTTAGATTCTTGCTGTAGCATGAGTTTACAAACGGGTAGAGGGAAGGGAAAAGGCAAAACCGCACTGAGTACTGCATCCCTTCGAACCAGATTGAAAGCATTTTTGAAGTCCAGTTTTATCAGGGCTTATTCATCTGTAATGTTGGCAATGTAGGCTCTAGCTGCATGAGCCGCTGCCTCACACCCTTGGGGAATGCCAAACCCAAGCTGTTTTGGCTTCAGCATGTCTGCTGCTGCCTGACTAACAGTTCTAGCAGCAGCCTTAGCAACGAGGCGCCGGAGTGAATTGCTCACAGCTATCGGTCAAATTCTTCCATCTTTTTTCCTCAGGGCACAGAGGGTAGCGCCAAAAAAGAGAAGCCGTATGGTCTCTGGTATGTTGCCAGCTAGACATGTGTTGGAGAATCTAGTTAATTCCAACAGGAAGCCCTGTGCAATGTCTCCCAGTGCAGGGTTGAGCATTTGCTTGATATGTTTCGGTCTTAGACCTGTGAACCCACCTGCTGATTCTGTTGGGAAGGATAAAGCTGCTTTATTCACCACGGAATCAAGCACACACAGGGGTTCTGCTCTGGTGACACCGACTAGGGGAACACTGTCGTCTCAAGGAGCTCTGAGTGGATGTTTTTCTCTCAGGGCTTTTGCTGTATCGGCATCCCTGGTTGCGACTGTGTCTTCACTGTGGATGATTCTGATCGCCCCTATTGTGTTGCATTCTTCTATTTTCTTGCTGAGTGTTGCTCTGATTTTGGATGCCATTTTTTTACATTTTTATTTTTTGTCTGATGCCTAAAAGCGTTTCGTAAGTGCTTCTTACATTTTCAAAGACTGGTTTACACATATCATATATCATATACCATGCTTATATTCGTCTTGAGCGAGGTGATATAACACAAATGTTTTGGGGGAGGTGACAGACCACGATTCATTGGGTATAAATTGGATATGAAAACATAGGAATGAAAGTACCTATAGAAGACCTAATGGTCCATATTTTCTCTTGCTGCTTCTATGTTGGTTCAGGGTCTTGAAGTGGGTAGAATATAGTTATGCGTTAATTGACTGTTGATTGCTGGTGTTGACTTTTTGATGTGTAGTGCATCGCTGATGTCGAGTCTTCGGCTATCGCTGTATCTATTGATGATTTTTGTGTTGCTTATTAAGATTTCTCTGGTGATGGTCTGGTTGTGAGAAGAGATTATAAGTTCCTTGATGGAGCCCTGTTATTTGTGCATTGTTAATCACATAGAAAGAGACGTTGTTATCTTGTCTATATACTGAGATCTTTGGGGGCTTACATTCCCCCAAGTGGGCATGTGAAGACATAGACGATGTTGGTTTCCTTCAAGGCGTTTCTGTTTGGTGTCTGGGGAGTTTTTCATGAGTAGGTTGGCAGTTTTTTTGTTTTTGTAATAAATTGTCAATTGTATTTTCTGATTTTAGTCTGTAGGGATAACGTTCCTATTATTAATATCTATCACGACACTTTCCTCCATTTTGTGAGCCGTCGAAAAGAAGTTCCTGTTAAACAGTCTAATTGGGAGTACAAGTGTTGTATTGGTTGACTCTTCAGAGGTTGCATCACGTTTCACCTTTCTTTTTATGACGTGTTCTACATACCGTTGGAGAAGCCATTGTTGACTAGGACCTGCCTTACCCTACAGATTTCTTCATCGACTTGTTGCCATTCTGAGCTGTGGCTGAGAGCACAGTCGACGTAAGTGTTTACAACACTCCTCTTGTACCTGCTGGGCAGTCACTATTGGCATTGAGGCACATTCCTATGTTTGTTTCCTTAGTGTAGACTGCAGTGTGGAAGCCTCCATTTCTTTACGTGACTGTTACATCTAGAAAGGGCAGCTTCCCATCATTTTCCATCTCGTCAGTGAAACTTAACACCGATTTCTGCTCGAATGCCTCCTTCAGCTGCTGCAGACGTCTGACATCAGGTACCTGCTTAAAAATTTCATCAACATACCTGCAGTATATGGCGGGTTTCAAGTCCATGTCACCTAAGACCCTTTGCTTTTTGGTACCCATGTAGAAGTTTGCAAACAGTACATCTAGGACAAAACCCCATGGCGACCCCATCTACTTGCTTATACATGTGCCCATCTGGACTCAAGAAGGGCGCCTCTTTAGTGCAGGCTAGGAGTAGCTTACTTAGTATGTTTTCTGGTATGTCAAGAGGAGTACAAGCTGGATCACGATAAACTCTGTACATTATCATTCTGATTGTTTCATCGACAGGTACATTGGTAAACAGCGACTCTACATTAAAAGAGGCTCTTATCTCTATGGCCTGTGCTCCCCGCAGTAAGTCAACGAATTCCTTTGGAGACTTCAGGCTGAAGTCACAAGGTACATAAGGAGTCAACAAGCAGTTGAGTTGCATAGCCAGTCTGTATGTGGGTGTGGGCATCTGGCTGATGATTGGCCGAAGTGGGTTTCCAGGCTTGTGGGTCTTGACATTCCCATATGCATAACCAGGTTTGTATTCCCCAATAATCTTTGATCTCATTATATAGGCAAGACAACAGCGTCTCTTTCTAGGCGATTAACAATGCACAAACAACAGGGCTCCATCAAGGAACATATTATCTCTTCTCACAACCAGACCATCTTCAGAGAAATCTTAACAAGCTACACAGAAATCATCAATGGATACAGCACTAGCAGGAGACTCGACATCAGCGAGGTACTACACATCAAAAAGTAAACACCAACATTCAACAGCCAATTAATACATAACTATATTATACCCACTTTAAGACCCCGAACCAACATAGAAGCAGCAAGAAAAAATATGGACCAATAGACCTTCTGTAGTTACTTTCATTCTTATGTTTTCATATTCAATTTATTCCCATTGATTCGTGTTCTGTCACCTCACCCAAAACATTTGAGCCATATCACCTCACTCAAAACGAATAAAAGCATGATATATGATATGTGTCAACCAATCTTTGAAAATGTAAGAAGCCCTTATGAAACGCTTTTAGGCGCCAGACCAAAAATAAAAATGTAAAAATTTAATTTTGGAGAGTTAGTTTTTCAATTACCCTCGACAGTGAAGAAAAACGTAAGAAATATTGAGAAGATTCGTGCTAGAATTATTAATCTTACCCTAGAGTCTCTCTAGACTCTAGATCGAGTAAGGATGATAAAAGGCAGTGTGAAGAAAAGGACTCCGTGCAAGTACCTAAAGAAATTAAAGGTCTCCCTATCCTAGAGGTGTATAATAATATGGGTTATGTAAGTGATGACTTAGATGTTAAAGAGTACGTAGAGAGAAGTCAATCGGATGCTTCTGCTTAAAGATAAATTACTCTGGCAGACCAGTAACAAATTTCCCCTATTCAATGACTTAGCTCAGACATGACAGACCAGGAAGAGTTTGCTCTAACTTGGACCCGACACGGAATGTTAGTGTTCAAACCCCTGGGGAGGATGATGTAATAATTGCATCATCAATTATGATGATACAGTGGCAGGGCACAGCTAGTAACAAATAATTATAATCATGAACTGCCTACCCTGCCAGAGAAGGTGGCGGAGGGTTGCGAGGGCAGGTTCTGCAGGAGCGCCCCCCAGGCGTATAGGATGGTGGCGTTGAGCGCCACGGGACGCCCTCCCGTCACCCACTGCCACGCCCTCTGCAGCAGCCACAGGGTCACGCCCCATATCACCACCGTCACCAGCAGCATCACCCACAGCTTCCCTGCAGCAAGGAGGTAACAATTTTTGTTTATTTTTAATATGATTATTAAATAAATTTATGAGTTTGAAAATAAACATTATACATCAGTTGAAATGTTCTTCCCATGTAGCTGACATTACATTCAGGTGGCTACCACATCACTCTGACCAAATCACTTGGTCGGAGTGTAAGGTTCAATGCGAGAAAAAAGTGTTGTAATTTAATGCATTGATCTGAGACGTATATATGATTTTATTATAGCTTTAATAATTTATGTTACTTGAGTTCTTTTGAAATTTTGCTCTATTTGTTTTACATATATAAACTAACTCTTTTGCCACTAGAAGGGTGATAAGGGCCGCCTCTTCAATACACACGACCCTTATTACATTAAACATCTTTACTACTCACGACCTTCCTCACTGTAACCATCTTTACTACTCACGACCTTCCTCACTGTAACCATCTTTACTACTGTTACAGCCTGCTTGACCCAGTAACCAGGTTCATTCTGCTTATGGGGCTTTAGTGCCTCTTGTTCTTCTATGATCCCACCCCAAGTCAATGGTACGTTGTCAAGAATTGACGGTAGCAAGTAATTGTGTAAGGAATAATGGGGTAAACTAAACTAAATAACACCTTCACCAATATATTATCTATTTCATATAACTACACATATGTACACAGTCTCTCTTTCGCACAGGATACTTAAGATGTCTCTGAAGCGTTCTTCAAATTCCCGGTGAGCCAACTATTTTCAAATATACGTCATCCACGTCCAATGGTCATCACCGGTGAGTTCACATTACTCACCATGGGCCAGTCCCCACATGGTATCGTCACCATGTCAAAATACCCGAACATCTGCTCTCCAGAAACACACTGGCAGACAGCTTCAGCAACACGCTGACAGAGGTATCAAATAACACTTCCAGGGGTCACCAATAACACCCTGACAGAAATCTGCCTACACATTAGCAGCCCTTCTCAGCAGACAGACAGAACTGTCGTCTTGTAACTCCTCTTGGTAATTTCCCAGGTACGTTGGTCCACACAACACTGCACAAATACAACAGCGAACACACTGTCTACTACTGAAGGCGGCCACATGTCCTCACAGGGACAAATCAAGAGTTCTAGACTGCCCAAGATGAACTGCCTTGGGCAGTCTAGAACTGACAACCACATCACCCCTGTGGATATAATAATCATTAACCAGACAGAACATATACAAGGAAAACATAGGATGGCAGCCTTTCACCGGGGAACTGTAAATATAATCGGATGTACAATCTGGATGGCGTTGATATTGTTACTTCACTCACCACAGGTCTTCATCTTCGACATCATCTCCTAACTGAGGTATGAACAGGAGCCTTTCACAGATGCCGTTGAACTTGTCACACCTACTCCAACAGATGGCTTTGTCTTCATCTAGCATTATAATGCATTTGAGTTGATGTGGTGGTCCATAGATTGCGTCGATATCGCCAGAACTCAATGCAGCAACGATGTTGTTATTGTCACAACTACTCACGACCTTCGTCACTGTAACTATCTTTACTACTTCCGACCTTCATCACTATCACTATCATTACTACTAACGACCATACACCACCTTCCATACCCGTCACCACCTTCTCTACTCTTCACCACCTTCCCTACCCTTCATCACCTTCCCTTCCGTCACCACCTTCAATAAGCTTCACCACCTTTCCTTCCCTTCACCACCTCCCCTAACTTTCACCACCTTCCCTACCCTTCACCACCTTTCCTTCCCTTCACCACCTTCCCTACCTTTCACCACCTTCCCTACATTTCACCACCTTTCCTTCCCTTCACATCCTTTCCTTCCCTTCACCACCTTCCCTACCTTTCACCACCTTCCCTACCCTTCACCACCTTCCTTACTTTTCACAACCTTTCAATCCCTTCACCACCTTGAATACTCTTCACCACATTCCCTCTACTTCACCACCTTCCCTACTCTTCACCACCTTCTGTACCCTTCAGCACCTTCTCTACACTTCACCAACTTCCCTACCCTTCACCACCTTCCCTCTCCTTCAGCACCTTCTCTACTCTTCACCAACTTCCCTACCCTTCACCACCTTACCTACCCTTCACCACCTTCTCTACCCTTCACCACCTTCCCTACCCACGACCACCTTTCCTTCCCTTCACCACCTTCCCTACCCTTCACTACCTTACTTATCCTTCACCATGTTTCCTTCCCTTCACAACCTTCCCTGCCCTTCCCCACCTTACCTACCCTTCACCACCTTTCCTTCTCTTCACCACCTTCCCTACTCTCGCCCACCTTTCCTTCCCTTCACCACCTTACCTACCCTTCACCACCTTACTTACCCTTCACCAACTTTCCTTTCCTTCACCACCTTCCCCACCCTTCACCACCTTCATTACTCTGCACCACCCTCCCTACCCTTCACCACCTTCCCTAATTTTCACCACCCTCCCTACCATTCACCACCTTCCCTAATCTTTACTACCTTCCCTACCTTTCACCACCTTCCCTACTCTTCATCACCTTCCCTACCCTTCACCACCTTCCCTAATCTTTACCACCTTCACTACCCTTCACCAAATTCCAAACCCTTCACCATCTTCCCTACCCTTCACCACCTTACATACCCTTCACCACCTTCCAAACCCTTCACCATCTTCCCTACTCTTCACGACCTTCCCTATCTTTCACCCTGCCAACCCTTCACCACCTTCCAAACCCATCACCACCTTCCCAACATTTCACCACATTCCCTACCCTTCACCTTCCCAACTATTCACCACCGTCCCTATCCTTCACCACCTTCCCTAACCTTTACCACCTTTACTACCCCTCACCACCTTCCCAACCCTTCTACCCATCACCACCTTCCCAACCCTTCACCACCTTCCCTACCCTTCACCACCTTCCCTACCCATCACCACCTTTCCTACTCTTCACCACCTTCCCAACCTCTCACCACCTTCACTACCCTTCACCACCTTCCTTACCCTTCACCACCTTACCTACCCTTCACCACCTTTCATTCCCTTAACCACCTTCCCTACCTTTCACCATCTTGCCCACCCTTCACACCTTTCCTTCCCTTCACCACAATCCTTACTCTTCACCACCTTCTCTCCCCTTCACCACCTTCCCTACCCATCACCACCTTCCCTACTTATCACTACCTTCCCTACCCTTCACCACCTTACCCGCCCTTCACCACTTTTCCTTCCCTTCACCAACTTCCCAACCCTTCACGACCTTCCCTACCATTCACCTCCTTACCTACCCTTCACCACCTTTCTTTCCCTTAACCACCTTCCCAACCCTCGACCATCTTTCCTTCCGCTCACCAACTTTTCTACCCTTCACCACCTTACTTACCCTCCACTATCTTTCTTTCCCTTCATCATCTTCCCTACCCTTCACCACCTTACCTTCCCTTCACCATCTTTCATTCCCCTCACTACCTTCCCTAACCTTCACGACCTTCCATACTCTTCACCACATTCCCTACCCTTAACCACCTTCCCTAATCTTTACCACCTTCCATACCCGTCACCACCTTCTCTACTCTTCACCACCTTCCCTACCCTTCATCACCTTCCCTTCCGTCACCACCTTCAATAAGCTTCACCACCTTCCCTACCCTTCACCACCTTTCCTTCCCTTCACCACCTTCCCTACCTTTCACCACCTTCCCTACCCTTCACCACCTTTCCTTCCCTTCACATCCTTTCCTTCCCTTCACCACCTTCCCTACCTTTCACCACCTTCCCTACCCTTCACCACCTTCCCTACTCTTCACCACCTTCTGTACCCTTCAGCACCTTCTCTACACTTCACCAACTTCCCTACCCTTCACCACCTTACCTACCCTTCACCACCTTCTCTATCCCTCACCACCTTCCCTAACCTTTACCACCTTCACTACCCCTCACCACCTAACCCAACCCTTCTACCCCTCACCACCTTCCCAACCCTTCACCACCTTCCCTACCCTTCACCACCTTCCCTACCCATCACCACCTTTCCTGCTCTTCACCACCTTCCCAACCTCTCACCACCTTCACTACCCTTCACCACCTTACCTACCCTTCACCACCTTTCATTCCCTTAACCACCTTCCCTACCTTTCGCCATCTTGCCCACCCTTCACACCTTTCCTTCCCTTCACCACAATCCTTACTCTTCATCACCTTCTCTACCCTTCACCACCTTCCCAACCCTTCACCACCTTCCCTACTTATCACTACCTTCCCTGCCCTTCACCACCTTACCCGCCCTTCACCACTTTTCCTTCCCTTCACCAACTTCCCAACCCTTCACGACCTTCCCTACCATTCACCTCCTTACCTACCCTTCACCACCTTTCTTTCCCTTAACCACCTTCCCTACCCTCGACCATCTTTCCTTCCGCTCACCAACTTTTCTACCCTTCACCACCTTACTTACCCTTCACTATCTTCCTTTCCCTTCATCATCTTCCCTACCCTTCACCACCTTACCTTCCCTTCACCATCTTTCATTCCCCTCACTACCTTCCCTAACCTTCACGACCTTCCATACTCTTCACCACATTCCCTACCCTTAACCACCTTCCCTAATCTTTACCACCTTCCCTACTCTTCACCACCTTCCCTACCCTTCACCTTCCCAACTATTCACCACCGTCCCTACCCTTCACCACCATCTTTACCCTTCACCACCTTCCCTTCCGTTCACCACCTTCCCTTCCCTTTACCACCTTCCCAACTCTTCACCCCTTTCCCTACCCCTCACCACCTTTCAAACCCTTCACCATCTTCACTACCTTTCAACATCTTTCCTTCCCTTCACCACCTTCCCTACCCTTCACCACTTTCCCTATTCTTCACCACATTTTCTACTTTTCACCACCTTCAGTACTCTTCACCACTTCCCTACTCCTCACCACCTTCCCTACCCTTCAACAACTTCCCATCTCTTCACCACCTTCCAAACCTTTCACCACCTTCCCAACCCTTCACCACATTTATTATCTTTCACCACTATCCTTATCCATCACAACCTTCCCTTCTTTTCACCATCTTCCCTACCCTTCACCACCTTCCCTACCCTTTTCAACCTTCGCTACTCTTCACCACTTCCCTACCCTCCACCACCTTCCCTACCCTTCTCCACCTTCCAAACCCTTCACCACCCTCCCTACTTATCACCACCCTCCCTACCCTTCACCACCATCCCAAACTTTCACCACCTTCCCTACCCTTCACCACCTTCCCTACCCTTCACCACCTTCCCTACTTTTCACCACATTCCATACTCTTCACCACCTTCCCTACCCTTCACCACCTTCCCTACCCTTCACCACCTTCCCTACCCTTCACTACCTTCCCTACTTTTCACCACATTCCATACTCTTCACCACCTTCCCTACCCTTCACCACCTTCCCTACCCTTCACCACCTTCCCTACCCTTCACCACCTTCCCTACCCTTCTCCATCTTCCCTACTTTTCACCACATTCCATACTCTTCACCACCTTCCTTACCCTTCACAATCTTCCCTACTCTTAATTACCTTCCCTACTCTTCGCCACGTTCCTTAACCTTCACCACCTTCTGGGAGTCGGTCGGCCGAGCGGACAACACACTTGTGATCCTGTGGTCCCGGGTTCGATCCCGGGCGCCGATGAGAAACAATGGGCAGAGTTTCTTTCACCCTATGCCCCTGTTACCTAGCAGTAAAATAGGTACCTGGGTGTTAGTCAGCTGTCACGGGCTGCTTACTGGGGGTGGAGGCCTGGTCGAGGACCGGGCCGCGGGGACACTAAAAACCCCGAAATCATCTCTAGATAACCAAGATAACCTTCCCTACCCTTGACCACCTTCTGTGCTTATCACTACCTTCCCTACCCTTCACTACCATCCCAACCCTTCACCACCTTCCTTACCCTTCACCACCTTACCTACACCTTGGGGGGGCCTCGTAGCGTGGTATATAGCGCGCAGGACTCGTAATTCTGTGGCGCGGGTTCGATTCCCGCACGATACAGAAAGAAATGCGCAAAGTTTCTTTCACCCTGAATGCCCCAGTTACCTAGCAGTAAATAGGTACCTGGGAATTAGTCAGCTGTCACGGGCTGCTTCCTGGGGGTGGAGGCCTGGTCGAGGCCCGGGCCGCGGGGACACTAAAGCCCCGAAATCATCTCAAGATAACCTCAAGATTACCCTTCACCACCTTTCATTCCCTTCACCACCATCCCTACCCTTCACCACCTTACTCACCCTTCACCACCTTTCCTTCCCTTCACTACCATCCCAACCCTTCACCACCTTCCTTACTCTTCACCACCTTCCCTACTCTTCACCACCTTCCCTACACTTCACCACCTTCAATACTCTTCACCACATTCCCTACCCTTCACCACCTTCCCTACTCTTCACCAC